TAAAGTTTGTTGCTCAATCGAACAATTTTGGAGTAATCTAACATTTTTGTTGTAGTGTTAGTAGACATTTATATTTTTCATAAACACATATATCGAATCAAATCTCATTTAATCTGTCAAGTCACATAAAACTGCTGTTAATTTCAGGGTAACCTTAGTATGACAAAATATCTAGAGTGTTATAAATTAATCTCGAGTGTTATACATTTCGCTCGAGATTTGCCAAATGTTATTTTCAAATTGCACTAAAAGTAAATCTCGGTTGATAAAGTTATTCCAGGTTAGGTTTAACAATCGAAAACCACATTCGTTATAAATAATAATAAAGAAATGTGTTTAGAAAAATGTTTTAGAAACATTGCCAATCAGAGAGGAATACTAGTGAGAATAGTTTTCACAGTATTTAAATTTAATTTAATGATAATTTGAAAACACATATAAATTATATCATTTCATAAATAAATAATAAATATTTGTTTACATACAAATAAACAATACTACACATTTATAAAGTATTCTGAGTATAATATTTTTTTCTAAATTTAATTTTTTATAGAATATATTTTACTTAACGCGTAATATTTAAATTAACCTAACCCTACAGACAAACAAAACAGTCGAACTAAAAAGTGTAGCGTACCATGGTTTGGTCATTAATCAAAATAAATGTCTTTTGTGCACTTGTCCAATATCAATAAAAACTATTTGGCACTCACCTTTGGTGTTTTCTGTTCTGTAGACATATAGCCTATGCAAAAAGATTTTGTTGTTTGACTCCAAAGAATTTCGCCAGTTCGATCTTCTGGATGATACACTAATGTTAATGCGCCTGCATACAAATTTTGATTAACTGGCAGAAATGGTGATTCTAAGAATTTATGCTTAAATGTATTATGTAAACTTCGAACAGCACAATCGGCTGTCAATAGATCCGTGCATATTTCTTTCGCTAGAAATGTTCGCATGATATATTCACCATTTCCAGTAGTGCATGTAGCAACGGATATATCAGAAGTGTCAGCAGCCCAAACACCAGCACCAAATGTAGCAGCTTGACCAACACGTCCAGGCACTTTTAAAAGCAGACCACCAGAACTACAACCAGCAGCTGTGTTTCCATTACCATCAACACATACAGCTCCTACTGTATCTAAGCGTGCTTCTATAGTTATTGGAGGTACGTCTGCGGTGACAGGTATAGTATGTTCACTAGCCAGTTTTTGATATTTCGTTTTATAATGATTATAAGCAAATTTTGCTTTACTTGATATCAAATCTTTGGGATCAATTATGTCACAACCCATTTCTTCTGCAAATTGCTCAGCTCCTGTACCAGCCATTATCATGGGTGGAAGGCGATCCATAGATAATAGTCTAGATTGTCCATCACAGATAACACGTGCCAATTGTATTGGATTTTTTACATTACTAACGTCTGTACATGCTCCAAATTGTAAATTGGCACCATTCATTATTGAAGCATCGCACTGCACACGCCCATCATAACAAAGATTTGAACCAAAACCCGCATTTGTGTTACCACAATTTTCCAACCGTTTTATGGCAGCTTCACAAGCGTCCATAGCTGTACCTCCTTTCAACAGCAAATCTGTAGCTCTTAAGCAGGCCTCTTTTATTACTCGCTGATATTTACTCTCATCGACACTGTTGCCCGCTCCTGGGGAGTGGCAAGTTTTAAATTGATTTTATTAAAATAAATTTAGCTAACAAACCTGTGTGCACTGCTATAAAACCAGACATTTTGCTTCAATATATGTTACGCTGCGAGATATTTGCAAACTATATTTTAATTCCGATTTATGTCAAACGCGACAGTAGTTTATTGTTTTGTTTGTGTATGCAAACATTCTGAAGTGCATAATTGAATAAGCAACTTAAATAAACAACTGTCAAAACTTGTTAAGTGATGTAAGCGACAATTATAGGTATAAGTATTCGGTTTTATTCAGGTAACCATAATGATTAGATACAGCTAGAGTTGCCGAGGTAACTGAAATTAAAAAAGTAATTTTATTATAAAATAATTGTGATAGTTCAAACCGCATATCTATAACACATAATTTGTTTTTTAGGGTCAACAATTTAGTTTTAGGTCGTGTGCGAGTTAGGCTAAGTTGATGCTAAACCAAATGGGAGAGTTTTTGGGATTTTTTGCACTGCAGTCATTTAGCCATTTATCAACACGTATCGACACATCACTACATTATCGGCACAACTTAGAATTTCCCTCATTTAGAACGCAACTTAGCCTAACTCGCACACGTCATAAATGTTATTATTTACAATATATTTTTTATAATATAACACAAATTTAAATATACTTCATTTAAAAAGAATTCATTGTGAATTATCAATTATATATATATAATTTTTTTGTGTGATATATAATTAAGTAAAGTTTACTAAAGTTTATAAAAATTGTATAAATAATTCTTTGGAAGATATTTTCTTCAAATTTTACAGATTCAAAGCACCAAGCCTAATACTGTAACCCAATAGCTAATATACGGATTTATTGAACCAACGAATATATCCAAAAACCACTGATAATAAGTATTTGGAAATGATAATAATAGCTCTATGGTCAACAATAGATAATATTAATTGCATACAAAAATTTTTCTTTCTCTTATTATCAAGTTCCACTGTAAACATAAATTATTTATAATTTTAAAAATATATTAACATCAAAAGTTTTGTGTAATTTATTTAACAACTAAATATTCAGTATCTATTGCAAAATAAAAATGGTTGGCAGCACTAGAACCAATTGTCAAAAATAAAATTGTGTTTTTATTTTTGCTGGTCAGTCAAAATAAAAATATAAGAATTTATTTGAACGAGTTTATTTTAAAAGGAATGTTGCGTAAAGTTTGTGTAAGTATTTATTATATTATATTATTATATTAAAAAATAAAGCAAATAATGTCACACATTTTGATTGCATAACACTGTATTAAATGAAACTGTTTGTAGTGCTCAAGGTATTCCGGTGGAATTCTACCGTATTTGTTAGGTAAACAAAATTTTTCCAGTGCAGCTGGACCAACTGGAAGTCAACCGCCAAAAAAAGAAGTTCTTAACCATGCTGATGTACCTATTATTGACTATGAAGATCCGGACTATTTACCACTGCCGGAATATCCCATGAGACCGGATGAACCACTCGAGGTACGCAAGCAACGGTAAGTTTAACGCTAAGTTTAGATTAAAATATCTTAAAGAGGTTCGTCAGCTCTAAGTGTGAACATAGTGTCTAACTTTAATGCTAATACATCTGTTATATTTGGGAGATATAGAAGTTTTGATGCACCGCGCAGATGACTACGGTGAAAAACAACCGTATTAGCATACACAGTTACACAGAGTGTCTGCCTTGAAATTGTTATGTTTTTCAAATCAAACCACTAAGTTCCGAAACGTAGCTGTCATCAGCGCGGGGCATAATTTACAAAAAATGGTAGTTTAAAATTCTTAGGGAAATTAGTTATTTTAATTTTAAATGCAAGATTAATTTAATTAAATACCAATTAATTCACTTTAAAATTTGAAAATTAATATAATTAACATATTGAATTTTTTAGTTTAGTCTACCAATCACGCAAGCGGGGCATGCTTGAAAATGATTTGCTACTCAGTACATTTGTGGCTAAGTACTTAAAAGACATGGATGCCAAACTAACGCTGCAGTACGATCAATTAATCAATGGTGTTTCAAATGACTGGGACATTTATTATTGGGCTACACAAGTTAAACCGACTCCTCCAGAACATGATAACGAAATTATGCGCATGCTAAAGAAACACGTAGCCAATGAACAATGTGATAAGCGTTTGAGGCAACCGGACCTGTAAACTTTATCTATAATTATTAAAGAATGTTGCTTTATTTTAAGAAAAATTTACTTTTTTGTTTGTATTCAAATATATATTTCATTACAATTAAATAATCTTCATGTGCTTTGTTAGTTGATATACGAAAATATACTGATGTGTGTTAGGTGCTACTTGAAACTAATCTGGATAAGATGTTTGTAATAATGTGTCATAATTCAGTGAGGACATAAGTTGTGTGTCTTGACTACGCGAGCATCGGCATCACTGTTGCGATCTGTCAAGTGTTATGTTTTGACAAATAACAAATCTTGCATATGTGTACATAATGCAAGCAAATTACATTCGATTAACATATATTAAATTAATACAAAATTAAAAGGAATGGTAAAAACGTTGAAAATTTCAAAATAAAGGGCTGAAATTTTTTTTTTCCCAATTTTCAAATTTATTACATTTTTGAATTTTTGTTTATATATGATATTTGACATCTGATTGCAATATTAGTTGGAATTTCCAATGAAAGTTCACAATAGTTTGCGTTGGTAACACTTTTTTTACTGGTCAATATGTTTGGCCAGAGTACCTATACTGACCAAAATAGAGAAAATAGTGTTGTTGGTTTGCGTACATTTCGGCAAGCAATTTGTTATTTTTTGCCATACTTACTAGCCACCGAAAAGGCCTATTATTGATGGGATTCTTAAAACAACTTAAAATACAGTTTAGTTTGAAATTAAAATTAATTAAATTTATAAATTTATTTTCATTTATTTCATTAATTTTCATATATATATATTTTAACTCATTATTTGCAATATAATATATATTTAATTTTTAAATTTAAAGTCAAATTAAAGCGAATGCGAGTGTCCAGTTTGATTACTATTTGATAGTAACGGTCTCTCTTTTTGTTTACGAAAACGTTCGGTTTTGTAAATAATTTGAATCAATAAGAGTGATAGAAGCACAAAATGGATTTTATACATTGCAATAAATGCAATAGACGACATAATATATATAAATCATTAAAATTTTTTCTTTCACAATGCGGACATGTAATATGCGAGAATTGTGTCAAGAGCTCGGAGAATAAATGTGTAGTTTGTGCGCGGAAATGCAGTCCCTTGCCCATTGACAACAATATGCCACCTTCGATGGTGGCTTACTTCGAAAAGCCTGAAAAGGTTTATGAACGTTTTCAAAAAGTTGTCAAATTTCAATTGACGCAAAAAGCGCGCTTAGGATTACATCTATTTAATGAATTACCACAACAATTGCGGAAAGTCCATAAGGAAGTAAATGCTATGTTAAAACTTAAAGCGAAACTCACATCTGAGTTGGATGAGGAGAAAAAACGTTTTGAAAAACAAAAACGATACTTGGCTTATATGCAAAACTCAATGGAAATGGTAGATACGAAACGAACTCATAAAACAGATTTGTCTGACGCAATGTCTAATTTAAAAAAGCGACTAACAACACCAACATTAAGTGCGTCCGTTTCGGAAAGTTTTAAAAGCACTGGAAGAAATGTCACTATCACTTCAATGCCAAAATGCGGTGTAGACTTTAATTTGTAAGTAATTTAAGCAAATAAAAATAGAATTAAAAAAAAAAAGCAGGAATTCTCATTATTTTTTATTTTTTTATTTATTTGATTTCTATGACTATCGGGTACTTAATTAATACTTTTCCTATATCTATATCCTCTGAACAAACAATCAACAATCGTCAATATGTAACTTCCCAAAGTACCAATTTATTATTATTCGATCCAATCTCTGTCAAATTGTAATAAGCAGCAGAGAGTTAAACAAGTTGGAAGCTTAACCTCTATTTAATTATAGCTGCCTTTGTACCTTAATAAACAGGCCATATTAAATATTAAGCGAGCTGCTTGATACAATCTCTATCCCTTTAAATTCTTCTTCCTTTACCAAAATCGGGGTAAGTTAAAAGATAGCGATAAATCCAAATATATTGAATTTGGTTTAGATTCAATATATAGACTAACTTGTTTCCAAGTAAATTGTTGATATATATCTTCGAGAAACATAAAAGACCGTTCTTGTTCTACGGTTCGAAACCAAGTCAATTTATTATATTTACGTTTATATAGAATAGTGTTCTTACGTCTATTTTAATTTTACACTAAGGGAAAGAAATTAAGTGGGAGAGATTATATACATACATACCAATTGTATTTTATAAATACTTTAAGAATGGTGAAATCGCATGTTGTGGTGAAATATCGTTTACTACTAATGATCTGTTGTGGGAACTGTTTAGGAGCATTGCAAAAGTAATGGAGTACTATGTCATTGCACCGATGCTACAATGGTGGCGTATTCCGACAAATAGTTCGTGCAGGAAGTGCAAGATAAAGAAAAGATCCAACCATTAGTGGTTTTTAATTTTCTCGTCTGGAACTGCAGACTTAACAGTTTCAACTATTTGGAAACCGTTTGTTAACTGATTTGGTAGAGATAATGGATGTGGACTTATCGGATCTTTTCAGCTTAATTTGAAAAATCTGATTTACAAGGGTAATGGAGGAATATGACAGCAGTTAGTGTAACTGGATACTCCTAGGCAATTCTCAACGCATTACAATAGGCAATAGTTAGTGACAGTTGTAACAACCATTAACCTAAACATGTTACAAATTTATACATTGCGGTTTCATGAGCAAATGTAAATAAAATATACATGTGATTGATATATTGGCGTAATATAGGTGTTTCAAAGCCCCAAAAAAAATGTGTGGAGTTTACAAATTGCATATTTTCGGTAGCGAGTTCAATACGTCTTGCGAAAAACAGGTGAATCTAGGCGTGTTTCATGACTTGTGACACCATTCTATTGAAACCACACATTTTCTATAACCATATATTCAATTTCAAATCAAAATTAGTATATACAATCTATACTTTTTGTGGATACAATAGTTTTTTGATGGGCACTTTTGAATTTTAGTGGTCCCAAACGCCATAACATAATTTTAATTAATGTAACTTTTATATATGTGGACTTCAACATACCTAAATACGACAATTTTTTAAATGACTTATCCATCAAGTGAAAAATGAAGCTCATTAATAAATAAAATCTTTCAGTTCAGCATTTGAGATTCGTCGCTAAAACAATGTTGCTAAATCCGAATTAGAAATGGATAACCCTCTAATATACGTAATATGTTCTGCTCTATTGTTATTATCACTATAGGTGCAATTACAATTGCCCTCTAAGATGGACTATAAAAAAGACGTTTCAAGTAAAAGTTTATATAAAATATGTTGGTTATATTATTCGGAATTATTAGGAATGCTAAGGAAACGATATGGTAATAAAATTTTTACAAGTATGGCTCCAACAAATAAAAGTTAAAGCTTGAAACATTATAAGATAGATCGAAACCGTTGAGAATGACGGTAAATATTTCAAAATATGTCGATGTATAGCGATATCTGCAAATAAGTTCTCAGAAGCCATGGTTTAGTTATGACTTTATAAGAAGAAAAATACTAGTTCATTTAATTCTTATATATATATATAATTTTATTCATTACATCCATATGGGTAAATATTCATGGTACAATATTCATACATGAAACTATCTTTTTAAAGTAATTTTCTACATACAATTTTATAAATTTTATATAATATAATTTTGTATATATGAATACATATACACATTCGAATAGACAAAGAATATATATAGGATAACATATATATATATATTTTAACAATTTAACATATATTTAATGATAAAAATAATATACAATGTGTCTCTATATTCGGGTTACATTATTTATTTGCCTGCATCGTTCATGTTCTTAGGTAAACTCAATAACGAATTGATGAGTTCGGAATTCCTTTTAGGCACTGGTCCTGTGAGCATATTACCCATGTAATACTTACAAGGATTGATGAATTGTTGTGGATATTGTACAGAAGACAGCCAGTTTAATAATTCGCGATTATACTAAATAAGAGAATAAGAGAGACATTTATTATAGAGATTATATATGAATAAGTTTTGAAATAATTTTGGAAAAAAGTCTATATATTGCATACAAGGAATAGATTAACATATTTATCAAAACTGAGGATAATAAGGATTTATAAAGATATATTATATATATAAGATATATATATAATATATTTTATTATATACAACATATACTACTAAATAAATAAATTTTATGAGTACCTTTATATCCCTTACCTCTTTATCCCAATATCTCTCCTCATCTGGTGTTGGTAAAGTCAGCGATTGGGTTATCAGTAAACCAATTGTTAATAAAAATAAACAATAAATCATTTTAGACATTTTGTTTATATATTAAAAATTTTAATTTTCTATTAAGTTCAGATGAACTATCTTCAATGGATGTGATTCCAAAACTGATATCAATGCATAAAAATGCAGGACTTTTATACTCTGGTCAGCGAATTCATCTCAGCAGGAATTCGCTAACGCATTTGAACTGAGTGTCACTTTCAGATTAAATAAAACAGTTTAACCAATATGTGTGGCCTGGTTAATGCCTGGCAAATATTTGTAGTACCTCATTACGTTTCGTTTACGTTTTATTGGTTTTTCTTACGTTATTGAGATGGTTTATGCGGAGTTTTGTTTGTTTTTGACTTTGATGTTTTCACTTGGTTAAATAAAATAAAAATGAAATAAAATCGAACAATCCTTTTTATGTGATTTATTTTTATTCTAATTTTGGATATGCAAAAAAAATTATATATATATATAAGTTGATAGAGTATGTCAAATAAACGTTAAAGTCTACTATAAATTTATTTTGTAAGAAGTAACTATTCAAGATAAGTTTGACAACTAACCTTGAATTATTTTATGTAACAAACCTAAAAATGTTTAAATTAAATTCAATTTAAAATAAAAAAAACTTGAATTTGTGTTTTCTATGCATTGCCTAAAGCTTAAATGAAAGTTTATCATAACGTTTGTAGAATAAAAGTGAGCCGGGAATTACGAAACCTCGAGGTTAGATTGGAGTGGCTGCCTTCTACGTCAAAGCTCACTTGAGCACAAATAATTGGTAATTGTGATACCACCGAAAATTAGCTGTAACTCTATGTACTTTTAAATAAGTCTATTAGAAGAAAAAGATCTTAAGTATAAAAGGATATTTATGACGATTTTAAGTAGTCAATTTTAAGTAGATTTTCTATTGGGGAGTTGTTTTTAGCTATGTTTTCGCAAGAACTTAAAGATGTTTTCGTATAACATATGATAAATACCTATTATCTTATAGATTAAGTAAAAATCTATAGTATATCATTCACAGTTGGGTATAAATTTCGGATGAGCTTTTTGAAAATAAAAATCCGTATAATAAAATATTATTGAAAAAATTAAGGACGTGTGCGAGTTAGGCTAAGTTGCGTTCTAAATGAGGGAAATTCTAAGTTGTGCCGATGGTAATCTAACTTTTATAAAATAATTGCTAGAGCACTAATTAAGCCGAGACAAACACAGTGAGACTATGACACCACATAGAAGAAAATTATAATGACAAAAGAAATATGATTTATGATAGTTATTATGATTAATCCTACAGAAATAGATGAAGAAAATGAGAATGATGATGATTATGGTAATAAAAATAACGCTGATGTTGATGGTTACGATAATGATGACAATGATAAGGATGATGTTGGTTATGGTGATATGATGGCATTTATTATTAAGATGGTGATAATGATTATGATGTTGATGATATGATAGAGAGTATAATGGGGATAATGTTGAAATGATGATGGTGGTAATAATGCTAATTAATAATAATGATACTGATACTAATGATGCCATAATGATACATATGGTCCTGATGACTCTTATAAGGTAATAATAATAAAGAATAATATAACAATTATAAATATATAATAATAATAATATAATATAATAATAATAATATAATATCATAATAATAATATAATATAATACTAATAATAGTAATGATACTGATCATGATAAGAATAGAATGAGATAAAGATTATTTCGATTATGCTGATATGTATGACAAGTACTTTAATATGCAATGAAAATTATAACCATATTGATGATTATATTTATAATAATAACGGTGTTGGTACCGGTTAGAGTCATCATTATTATGTCAACAATGGTAGTGATGGGATGATAATAATATTTGTGAATATGGTGATAAAATTATGTTGAATGTAATGATAATATTTGGAGAAACACTTATAATAATGTTGTTACTGATGACGATGATTCTGATTTTCATGTGCTAGTGATGATGATGCTGATGATTTGAAGATATTGATGATGAGAATAATAATTATGGCAATGATGGTGCAGATAATGATGGTGAAGATAATTAATTAATTATTATTCTGATGATAATAATAAATAATATGATAACGATCCTTTGATGTTGTTGGTGATATTTGTAATGTTGATGCTGATAATATAAGGCAATTATTTAAAATTATTTATTAAGGTAATTATTTATTTAAAAATTTAAATGAATACTGAAATTTTGAAATAAAACAATAAATTCTTTCTTTCTTTCTTCTTAGAAACCGTTTCCTCTAGTGGAGCATTAACCGCATTAGCCGCATTAACAATAAATTAGGTAATGGGCGCTCTCGATGTTAGGAGAAGAATGCAATGATTTACAGCGGCCACTGCACAAAACTTGTACAAAACTTGTTCGAATTTTGTAAGTCCATATTTTCTTTAGAAGACCCAAACAGTGGTGAAGAAGATCAGTAAAAATGTGAAAACACTGAAGCAATTAAAAAATATATGAACCCAATAAATTTTAGAAGTGCAGTGGAAATATAGTAGACCACCTTAAATGTCTTGACTTTTACAATAAATTAAGTGAAACAAAATTAATTATAGAGTTTTTTTCGAACAGTGGTGAACTACAACAACAAAAATTCATTTTTGTATTATTATAATTAATTGAATTTTTGGCTGACCATACAGGGAATATTCGGCCAAATACCCATCATCAGTGGTCTTGGAAATAATCCTTGTATTTAATTATTTGTAAATAATTATTTTTGAGACTGCAAGTATCAGGAATCGAACTCGGGTCCTGCTAAATGTGAAGCTCAGAATTAATTATAGTTAAAAACAATTTGTTTTAATACACATAACTTCATACTATAACAATTTAAAAAAATTCAAAGTTGCTTTTAAGATGCAGCAAAAACAACTTATTTTTATCAAGTTAAGATTTGTTCGTTTCCATTGGTATAAGTTGATTTATGCATGCGAGAGACCTTTTATATGTCAAAAAGTTCTGGAAGAGCTTTTACTTGTTTAGAATTCAGATCATTTTTATTTTGGAAAATATATTTAGCAATTTTGCATTCGACATTTTTGGTGTGATTCACCTTAATTTGTCTTACCCTAATCATATAAAGTACTTTAACAAAAGCAGTAAAAAGATACTATTAGAGACGTCAGTACTAGTCTAGTCTATTATCATAATTCTACAGCTGATTTATGATTTTGTTCTAATATAACACAGCAAGTGAATTTGCTAAATAACTTTCACAGTAAATTAACAAAACTTCAACTTCGAACATACAAGTCATTATTATCAGAGTCATTATCTCCAACATTTTTTTTGAAAACCGGGAAAATATTTTAAAAATACTGTAAATTTTTAAAATGGATATAGAGAAAAAACTGTAACTGTTATTAATTTAAAATAGAGAAAAATATAATAATAATTCACATATCTGAAATCCACTAAAGCTAATAAAACTACTGAATGCCATCCTTTATAGCTAAAATAATCAACTTTTAAAATTTCTCAGGTACAAATGATGTCTGGAGCATGTAATTTTTAATATTCGATTTGTAAACAAAAAACATATGATTTTCTTAATTTGGGGCAGCATGAACACTTTCGAAATTAACTTAATTTCATTTTTACGAAATTATGGAAATTTGGCTGTCTGAACATAATGTAATACAATTAAAATTACAGAATTTTTTTAGTTTCATCAATCGGCTGTTTTCGTTTGAATTTAAATTTTTGTATTGTTTATTTGCGCGGTTTAACACACAAAGCGGTTTTACACAAAGACTTTACACAAAGCTGTGCGATGATAATCTGTGTAAAGAGCGTAATTTGGCACTTTATTTGTGTTATGCTCTTCGTTTGTACTTTACTCGAGTTTTACTATGAGTAGCTGGTGGAATAGATTTAAATTTTTCTTGACAGAAAATGTTCGAGTAAAGACTTTTCAAATTTCGGCAGGGATGTTGCACTCAGATGCTCTCATTTGAAAATTTGCTAGTGGACCGTACTTGTGTATACACAGTGTTACACAAAGTTACTACGAGTAGCTCGAGAACAGACCTAATATAGTTTTGATATTACGTTTTTCTTGATAAATAAATGAAATTATTTTATTTAAAAATGTTTTCAAATTTGTGGACATTAGTAGTGATCTTCCTAATAAGCTATATAAAAAAATGGAGTAAAAGGAGTGAAATTTGGTTACCACTAATTTTACTTGAAAGAAAATGTTCGAATAAAGTCTGTGTAGCATTTTCAAATTTCGGCAGGGATGTTACACATTCTCAGATGTTCTCATTTATTTGAAAATTTGCTGGTGGGACATACTTGTGTATACATAGAGCCACACGAAATTACTAAAAGTAGCTCGTGGAGCAGACCTAATATCATTTTTTATTAAATTTTTGTCAGTGTACGAGATGAAATGCAACTATGTATTATTTTTGACAGCTACTGTATTCTACAAACATTTTTAGCACGTCATTAGTTTTCTTTATTTTCTACAAATTGTGCAAAATTGTGAGTTGTACTTCGGAGATAATTGTGTTAAATATTTTATTTTATAATGCAGTGAGTACGTACGTTTCCTGCTTATTTTTGTTATTTATTTATACAAAAAAAAAGTGCGTGTGTGTGAATGAAGTGAGCATAGAAAAACACAAATACGTTATGTATTCCTTCAGCATATTCCTTTCCCCTTAAAAATGCAAACAAATAGATTTTGTAGATTTAAGTGCATTCAGTGAAACAAAGTTCTACCAAACAAAAACATATGTAAAGATATTTTGAAATCCCTGCATGGACAAATAGCAAACTGTGTATTTGCAATAAAAAGTTATGGAAAAGTTTCCATTGAAGGGTAACAGGGAAGTTGCGGCCGAAGGAAACAGCTACATAACTGCGTACCAGTCTGTACTGAAGAAGGTGAGTGGCTTGAACAAGTGGGCGTACGAACGTTGGGCAGATAATTTAATATTGCATCTTGTGTGAATAATAATAGAAAATCAACTTTAGGAAATTATCTCAGTAAAGAACAAAAATGTTCATTCTTTTCTTTGAAAAATTAATTTTTTAATTTGATTAGAAATGCA